CTTGCGAGTAGTATGCAAACAGTTTCACAGCTCGTTGTTGAGACTTAAGATCTTGTGGAGGAGCCATTTCACGCAAAGGCCTTAGACGATCTGGGTCCGGCCTAATGTTGCCCTTGGACATCTCGTAACCAAGAACTTTAGTTTCTTTAGTAGCGATAACACTTTTGGCTGCATTGAAAGTTAGTCCGTAATTTTAGCCACGCTAAGAAATATTTGAAGGGTTGAATCATGCTCCGCGAGGCCGTTCCCACAAATAGTGATATTGTCCACGTAGACGAAAATATACTTTAGGCGTTCGCGTGCAATTATGTCGTCAGTGTTGCACGTCCTGTAGCGCCTCACACACTGCACACACCCACGCACGCGCGTCGTGGCCAGACAGTTTGACGAAAAATCCTGTGTGCGAACTGCAGCTGTCCAGATCAAAACAGAATTACGGGAAAGGGCGAAAGTAGGCCCCTCGAACACTGCACGAACGTAGTATCTAGACCGTTTGCCGCGATCACATGCGAGCAATAAGAGCGGCTGCCCTACAGACTCCAGCAAGGATAAAACGCACACTGAAATTAATAAAAATGCAGGGACGTCTATGCGGACTACTGGGTCACAGAAGCCAGCAGTGCCCATTGTAGGGGACTTGTGTACGCCAGCTCACCAACTCAGCTAAAATGTCCTGTTGTCTCACTGCTGGCTGTGGTAGCACTGGTGGGTGGTAGAACACGCTCATCTCACCAAGTCGCACTGAATACCCGCTAGAATGTCTGTTAGGTCACTGCTAGCTGTAATAAAACTGGTCGGGTGGTTGAGCATGTTCAGCATACCAAGTCGCACTGAATGCCTGCTAAACTGTCTGTTGTGTCACTGCAGCCATTGACCGGGGCAGTTCTAGAAACTATAACTTTCACTCTGTGGGATGTGACTGTTTCGATTCGGCGTTTTCGTCAGTCTCATAGCCCAGGACTTGATGGTGTTCCAGTATGCATTTTAAAAGCCGATGCAAATACGATTTTCCCATCCCTCTTATGCAAGATATTTAATCTCCCTCTTGAAAGGGAAACTTATCACACCTTGTGGAAGGAATCACACATTTGCCCATTCCTAAGCACGGCCAATCTACATCGTTTGATGACTTTGGGCCAATAAACATCCTCCCCGCAGTTTCGAAGACTTAGAGACATTGATCAAAGAGAAGATGATGTTTCACTTTACACAGTATATTTCGATTTCACTATGGCTGTTGATCGTGTTGACCATGCTCTTCTTCTCTTGAAACTGTCCTCTTTCGGAATAGGTGGCAAACTTTTGAACTGTATATCTTCTTACCTGGGCTCTCGTAAACAACTAGTTAAGATTTCAAATACTATCTCCAACCCCACACGTGTGAGGAGTGGAATCTATCAGGGTAGTGTACTCGGCCCACTTTTATTTTGCCTTTTTGGTGATAATGTACCCGATTTATTTCAGAATGGTAAGCCTTTCATGTATGCCGATGATCTTAAAGTTGCATATCGATGTAAGCCGGCAGATCATGACATCGTGCTCGAGCTCCTTAAGAGCGATCTACAGGCTTTCGCCCAGTGGTGCCGCACATGGCGCCTTTCTCTCTCCTGGCATATGTGCTCAGTCATGGTGGTTGGCGACGACCGCCAACCTCAACTAAGTAGTGAAAGTCACGCCATAAATGTGCCTGGGATTATTAAGGATCTGGGCGTTTCATACTCCAAGAGTCTCAATCTCTCGGAGCACTGTGCCTTGATAGTCTTCAAAGCACGTAGAACGACCGGGTTTATCCTCCGAAACTTTAAAACTAGGGACATTAGAATGCGCCTTTACAACATGTACGTTAGACCTGGCCTGGAATACTGTTCGTTTTTATTTAGCCTCATGCGTGCCACTGAGCGAAAGAAAATAGAATCCGTTCAACACTTTTTTACCAAGAGAATTTTAACCCCGGAACACCGACATTTGTCTTACAAAGAACGTTGCCTGCTTACGGACCTTGATCCTTTATGGTTCCGTAGACTACAAAAGGGACTACTTTTGCTATTTAAACGCTTATACAATCACACATTTAACCCACTCACCTCTTTAATACATCATATCCACCCACGACGTAACAGTCACCGTGAGGTCTTTTTTTCTGCCTCTGGCACGTACTGTTAAATATCGTCGGTTCTATTCTGTTAATGCAGTTGCTATTTGGAATAAAATACCCATGAGTGTGAAAACTCTGCAAAATTATCCTCTATTTAGGAGAACTATTACTCGGTTTTTGCATTCAGAAAAGCTTCCACAAATGTTGGGTGCTGAATCCACTAATCGACTCTACCGTAGCGATGGCGTTTGTGGTCTGTGAACACTATGGCCGGTCTCGCCAGCTGTTCCTCAACGCCTCTACTTGGACTATCCCCAACTTTATGAAAGGAATTGACGTCTGGTACTCTCCGATACCGTGCAACCCCCCCCCCCCTCTCCTTCTTGATGGTCGAGAATCTACCACCAGCAGTTTTTTGTCCTGAACCCTCTAAATCATGAAAACCACCATGAACTATATTTTTATTTCTTTACCTCAGGAGTTTTTTTCACTGCTGCTCGGATTTGTGTTTAATCGCTTCCCTTAACAATGCCCGTAAACTGTTTGTTGGGTCGCTGCTGGCTTTGGTACCACTGGTGGGTGGTTAAACACGTTCAGCACATCACGTCGCACTGAATGGATGCTAGAATGCTGTTGTGCCACTGTTGGCTGTGGTAAATCTGGTGGGTGTTTGAACACAATCATCTCACCAAATCGCTGCTAGATTGTCCCTGCTAGAGTGTCTGTTGTGTCACTGCTGGCTGTGTTGCCACCGGTCGTTTGGTTGAGCATGTTCATCTCCCCAACTCGCACTGATTGACTGCTAGACTGAC